CTGGCAAAGGCAAAGACAAAAGCACTCACCTCCAATCTCAAGGCCATGGTTAAACATTCCATACAAAGTTGGCATTCTAGTAGGGACAGTTACGCAACAGATTTGCTGCTTACTTTTGGGTTCCCCAGGCCATTTATTTTGTGCTGACTCAGCCACATCTTCCCTCCTCGGTGATGCACAGCATTATCCATCTTGGCCCACGCTGGATATCCACAGTCATACCATGTTTTTCTAAGTATGACCTGACCCTAATTACCTCTGTTCCCTAAAACACATATGCCATATAACACAGTATTTGCCTTTGGGGACTTGGATCAGTTTACTTAGATGGTACTCTCTAGTCTCATCCGTGTTTTTGCAAATGCTAGGATTTCCTTTTTCTTGAATCCTTAATAATGTTTTATTGTTTATATACTTCATATTTTCAGGATATTTTCACCCATTGATAGATTATTGGGTTGTTTCTGTACTCTAAGTAACATTTCCGTGAACATGTATGTGATATTATATATGATTCAAATACCTTTAGATAAATACCAAGGAACAAACATCACATTTGTTTTGGTTACTTTTCATATCTACCAAAACAATATATAGCATTGGCATAAAAATGGGCACAGTCCAACAGAACAGAGCAGAGAGCCTAGTTGGCTGTGTATAAGGCTAAGGTATTCGAAGACAAGGTTCTAAATCTACAAAATGGGGAAGAAGTAACATCTTTAGTAAATGGAACTGAGAAAAATGGAAACCTATCTGATAAAAAAAAGGAAGCAGACTTTCATATTACAGCACACACACAGATCAATTAAAAGTGAATCTGAAACTCAAAAGACAGACAACAGTAAAACTGTCTGAAAGAAACACTGGACCGAAGCCTCTGACATTGATCTTGACGATGATGTGTTTGGCTTGAAACTGAAAGGGTAGGCAATGGAACAGACAGACCAACCAAGTGGGATTGCTAAGAACTGAAAGGCTGCTGGTTACTTTTGGGGGTTAGGGGCAACTCAACAAACTGAAAAAAAAAAAAAACCTTAAAGGCAGGAGGATATATTTGCAAGTCACATATCTGGTAATGAATTAAAACAGAACTTGATTTAAAACTTACCAAGGCTGCCAACTACTCATAGATCCTCAATAAGGGTGGAAGTTGGACAGTATCTTCCCCATCTACGTGGCAGTTTGACTGGCTTGATCTTGTGCCGGTCTTGAGCAGTTGTGAGTTTATGAGTGTCTTAGCCACGCCATGTCCAGATGACAGTATTTCACTGCCCTCTCAACTCTTTGGCTCTTACAATCTTTCCACCTCCTATTCCAGTATATCCCTTGAGTTTTGCAGTGGGGTGGGCAGATGTCGATAAAGATGTCCCATTCAAGGATGAGCACTCAGTCTCCTAAGCTGGTAGCTGCTGCTGGAGGCAAAATCACTCCTTTTGTGCAGGTACCACACCATTGCACAAATGGGCAGCACTAATTGGACTTAATGAGTTATAAACAACAACAGCAAAGCATGTAAAATTAGGAGGGGCATGTTGTATGTGGCGAGAATATGGAGGAAATTGAAGGAGTGGAGGGCTGGGTATGATTCTATTTGATTGTATACAGATATAAATTTTTCAGAAATAAAGTATAATTACAGTTTTGAAAAATAGCGATCAAAAGACTTGAATAGATGTCCCTTTGAAGACGGACAGATGGACAACAGGTATATGGAAAGGTGCTGTCAGCATCAACAGAGAGATGCAGTTCAAAACCACAGTAAGATATTGCTGCATTCCTGTTAGGATAACCGCTATGAAAAAAAACAAAATAAATAAACACAAATAGAAACAAAATAAATATTGCTAAAGAGGGGTAGATTTAAGGCACACTGCTGTGTGAGAATATGAATTGGTACAACCATTGTGGAAATCAATTTGGAGATTACTCCAAAAATTAAAAAGAGAGAGGGAATCTATGGCTCAGTAACTCCTTCTGGGCATTAGTTTCTAGGTGTGACACATGATAAATTCCCAGGTTTGTTTTATACTACAATTCTATATTCTATGTGTAAGAGTCTACTGAAAAACTGAAAGCAGTTTTTGTTGTTTTGTTTTTCCTGCTATGTCCCTAGAGTCACTACCCTTTCCTGGTGTGAGCCCCTGGGACATTCCGGGTGCTCTACAGAGTTAGATGATTTGCCCTTGTGGAGGCAAAATTGAGGCATGGAGGCTACGAGAGAGAGAGAGAGAGAGAGAGAGAGAGAGAGAGAGAGAGAGAGAGAGAGAGAGAGAGAGAGAGAGGGAGGGAGGGAGGGAGGGAGAGAGAGACAGACAGAGAGAGAGAGGGAGGGAGGGAGGGAGAGAGAGACAGAGACAGAGAGAGACAGAGACAGAGAGACAGAGAGAGACAGAGACAGAGAGAGAGAGAGAGCGAGAGAGAGAGAGAGAGAGAGAGAGAGAGAGAGAGAGAGAAAGAGCTGGGTTGTAGTTAAATGCTACAGTGCTTGCCTAGCATGTATGAGCCCCCCCCCCCAGTTTGACTCCTGAATACTGAAAAGAAAAGGACAGAAAAGAACCAAAAGGAAAAACATTCCAGGAGGGAATGGTACCCAGCTGTGCTTAGCGATGATGGTGTTTTCATAACATCATGCTCTAAGGAAGCCTTTGGGGCTTACGAACCTTGCAGGCATCCTTTGCTTCTGATGAAAGTTTATCATTGAGTCATGTGTAGAGCTTGATGATCTGCCCAACAATGAGTTCATAAATTCTCCGGATTATAGTGAACAGATGAGAGCAGTGACAGGGAGAGAATTGACAGTGATGAGAGGGGGTGGAGTCTAACACTAGGCCAGTGCCTGTATGTGGCTGGGACAGCTGATGCCCCACCCGAGGAGCACATCCAAGTACCATTTTAAGTTTCGCTGTAATTGCTCAAGACTCATGTCCTTTGTCCTTAAAGTGGATGAAGTCAAACTGTGGCTAAGGGTTGAGATGCAGTAAAGACAGCAGCCCAGGGCTCAGTTCTCATTCTTACTTGAACTTTGAGGCACAGTCTTATTTTGGATTTTTATTCTGTAATTTTTCCTCTCCTGAGATGCTTTTAGGGTTGGAAAAGAGCGTGCACAGATTCTTTCTCAGGATACAGGCTGAGGCAGTTGGGATAACTGGAGTCCCAAGCTTTGCTGTCTGCAGTCCTAAGTGCTTTTCTCCCAAACTCGAGCTGTAACTAGAAGGACCTGCATAAAGCCGGGGTTTTCTTACATCTGATTGTTCTACTTGTTGGTTTCCCTTCACCTCAGGATCTTGAAGGAGGTCTATTGCTTCATCCAATTATGCCGGTGCTCTGAGGAGGGAGTCCCTGGGGACAGTGCCTCCTAAACTTTAGTGTGCAGGTCAATCATCTGGGCAGATGCTAAATGTGAGCATCCTGCTTGAGCACATCTTGCGGGGAGGACTTGAGGTTTTGCATTTCTAACCAATTCCTAGGTGATGCAGTTGCTGCTACTAGGAGGACCACACTCGTTGCACGAAAGGTCCAGGGTACAATACAACATGCAGAGACGCATGCTGGACTGCACAGCTTCCCACAGTAGCCAGGTAAGGGGCTCTCAGAAGCACAGAAAGAATTTCCTGTTGGGCTTCCTTCCATTCCAACAGCTTTTTGCTTTTGTGTGCTTGCTGGGGCACATTTGGGCTGGGGGGGTGTCTTGTACCTTGTGTTTGAGCTAGGTGTTCATCAACCTGAGACAAAGTAAGCTGGGCACAAGCAGATGGTTGAAAAGCCTGGCTGGGGACACAGGGACTAAGACACTTGCTCAGGTCCCTAGTCAGCATCTTGGGTCAAAGCACAATTCCTTTCTGTTCCCTCATCCTCCCAAGACACCTGGGGGAAGGATGCCATGGCTCCTGGAGAGGCTTGGCTCCTTGTATCCTGACACATGCACGCTTGCTGTTTTATAGAAAGAAATGTGTCTTGGCTGGAGGCCCACACTTCATTCCAGCATATCCTTTTTACCAAAAGAGCTGTCCCTGGAGCTGCCAACTGTGTTTACGAGAAATCCATCCAACAATACTTTGGATCTGGGAGCATGCCCCGACCGTAAACATGGCCTTCACAACCCCACAAAAACCTGGCACAATGTATTGGCGTCTTTATTTTTTATTCCATATGCAAAGGCAGTTTATTTTCTTTCCTTTATTTCTTTTTTTTTCCAGCTGGGAAAACTCCTGTCGGAGGATGTAGTGTCCTTTCCAGATTCAATATTATGCAAACTGCATATCAGCATATGGAGTAAACAAATATGTCCACGAAGCTTCTCGATACACAGAGAGATGGAGGCCTCACCAATGCCTAGACACAGACCTGAGATCTGTGCAGTGGCTGCTGACTTTGTCTCCCCTTGTTTTATGCCATCTTGCTTCCTTAGGACATGTGGCTGGAGTCTGAGATCTTGACTGATGGGCCTCAGTAAGGGCAAATGTTTGGAAATCAAATGTGAGCTCTTCTAGCCTGGGTGTGTGGCGGGGACGCCTTGTCTGGGTCTCAGTAAGACACTCATGTCTCAGACATCCTGAGGCTACTCACTTTCTCACTCTTCACACCCCATCACAACTGTGAGACAGATCCTCAGCCACAGCCACTGCTGCAGAGTCCCTGCTTTCTCTCTCCTCCCTGCCTGGAAGGTGTAGATAAAGGACAGCAAGAGGCACTGAACCTCACTGGTGAAGAGAGCTGAGCCAAGTCCCTTCCCATCACAGGTTTTCAATTCCAGACATGGCCAAGGCTGGTTTCTGCTTTGCAATCCTCTCCGTGTGTGCTGGTCCAAACATGCTCCTGTTGCTATAATCCCTGTGAGATTAAGCACCTTTTACATTGTCAGTCACAAGCAATGATGGGTTCTTAGATTGATTTGTGAAAGGTAAATAATGAATAGATGGAGAAGCTGGTATTTTAAGGAAGGTATGCTTTAAATTTTTTCCTTTCTTCTCCTTTTTGTTTTATATTTACTTATATGGTGTGTGTGTGTGTACCACAATGTGCATGTGAAGGTCAGAAGATGTCTTGCAGACACTGGTTCTCTTCTCTGCCCCGTGAGTCCCAGGAATTGAACTCAGGTGGTCAGACTTGCCAGCAAGTGCCTTTAGCTGCTGAGCCATCTTGCGGCCCAGTCATGTTTTCTTCTGTGTAGTGCAGCATCATGTTTCTCCAATGCATCTGCATCCAGAGCACAAAGAGACAAGCACATCAAAAGACTTGCCTTCAAAACTGAAAACTTTCCCATCTGCCACCTCTCCTATGCTGTCGGTGTGTGTTTTCCTGCATCTTCTGTTTCCCTTGGGCTGTAGCAGGGGAATCTACCTTTTTGAAAGAGTTCTGCTTGCCTACACGTGTCACGTGTGCTTCTCTCAACATAAGAACTTGGTGTGTGTTCTGTTCACAAGTGGTAAGGCACGAGCCCTCCTTCATCTTAAGCTACCTTATAAATCTGCCTTTGTAGAAATAGTTGCTCAAGCAAATTGGCTTTGGTTCCTGGACCCTGATAAGCAGGACATTCCCTCTTTATTGTTTTAGAGGGGAGATGAGCTCAGAGATTTCAGGAGAAAAAGGCCTTGGACCCAATTTTGTGCCTGACCAGTTTCCCTGGACGCCACGCTATGTTACCAAGCAGATGGCTGTGTCATGTACTTGCAAAGACTGTGGGCATACTGCATAGTCCCTTTGTCCCAACAACTCTGGAGGTTCCACTAGCAATTTTATGCAAGATGACAGGAAGAGAGGTTGGGAAGGCCACAGTAGGAACAGCTGGGTGGACAGTCAACTATATTTAATAATCAGATATCTTTTTGTTAAAAAACAAAAGAAACTAACAAATAAAAACCCTGAGTATCTGGTATTTGTTTTAAACACCTATCATGAAGTTAATACTTCGTGTAAGCTTTTGATGATTGCAACATAAAAGTTTTCAGAGCCCTTCTCTCTTTAGGATGTTATTAAATTTAGTCTTTCCAGTGGGGAAAAGGGACGAATCAGTCAGGCGAAATACTCTTAGGACAATCACTGTGTCCATTCAGTGTTCTGTTCTCTATGCCAACAAAATCTCCCAAGAATACCACAGGAAAAAAAAAGTTCCGAGGATTACTGTCAGATTAGCTTGTTTGCCCCCTGCCTCCACAGCCCTTCTGACACAGACAATAAAGACAAGCACAATGGATTATACTAATGAGTTTGCTTAGCAAGGAGCAGCATTGGCCATGTGGTTGCAATGTGCAGTTGGCGGGATTCATCTCCCTGTCTCACTTCCCAGTTCCCTCTCCTCTGAGTCTATCATCAGATGGACGCGCCATCCAGGTCATGAGTGGGTGCATTTTGCCCTCACCGCTCTGCTTGCCCCTCAGAGATGGCTTTTTGGTTATATTTCCTTATCTTTCACACCCATGGACACTGTGGTAGGCAGACACTAAGATGACTCTCACAGTCCTCTGTTCGTGTGTCTCCCCATGGCTCGACTCTCCCCATGAAAATATGGGATGCCACCCCTGTGATTATGTTATCATATGGGAGATTCCTTTTGGCTAGCAGATTCTCAGCTGATCTCTTTGCTGTTTTGATGGAGTAAATGATCATGTTGGAAACCCACGTGGGCTTTTAGTTACTAAGGGCAGCTTCAAACTGTTAGTCAGTGAGAAGCTGGGGTCTCAGGCACAGGGAGACAATTCTTCACACAGCATGCATGAGCTTGGAAACAGATCCTTCTCCAGTCTGGCTTTTGGCTAGGGACATACCTTGATCAACCATTTCTTGTAATACCACACAGAAGGCCCTCCCAGCTGTGTGCTCAGAGTCTGGACTCTCAGAAACGACGCGTTAATAAGTGTGGTGTGTAAAGCCCCTAAATTTGTGAAAATCTTCTCTGCAGTAGTAGAAAGAGGCACGTTGAAGCAAGCAGGAGTCCCTGGCCCTCTACTTCTTGGAAAGGAGTTCGTGTTTGTTTTCTTCCTTACGAAGTTCTCCTGCAGGTCACTGTGAAAATGAAAACCTGGATGTTTTACCAGAGAGTCCAAGTTTATGACTATTTCTATCTGTGCCAGTAAGCTGACCATCTCTTCTGAATTCTGGACCTAAATGCAAACTGAGAGATCTTTACTTGGAGGTTCCACCCGGTAGATTAAAATGTGTTCAGATCAACTTCTCATCTTTCCAAATCTGTCACATCACCATTGCTTTTTATATAAGGTCATGACACACCACCTAAGAGTATGTATCCTTGCCTTGCCATTCCCCAAGACCAACTGTTCCCTGGACCCTTAAATTGATCTCACATTTCAGATCTCATGCCAGGAAGGGAAAGATGCGACAAAGGCTTTGCAAAGTATCTCCTTGCTCATCTCTGTGACTTTCATTGTGGCCTGCAGGCCTGTAGAGTCTTTTATCTGAGAGATAAGGAAGCTGTAAGTATTTAGGCCAGCGTGACACACAAGTGAGCTGCTGAGGTGCTGGTCCTGAGAGTGGCATTTGTTCCACCAGAAGAAAGAGAAACACTTGCTGCAGACCTGTGTCCCCAGCCTGTCCCCATCTGTTAACCCTGTGCCATCAGAGTTCCTGAGCAGTCATCTCCAGACTTCTCCATTGAGCTGCCTTCATTTGGCACTCAAAGCTTCATTGTAGAACCAAGATTTTCACAACTGTGCAAACCTCCTACGATTGCTTTTGATGATTCCCGGGTTGAAACACCCCTCCATGTGTGTATTTTATGTCGGAGCCGCAGCTTGGCAAGCACTGACTTTTCAAATGTGTGTAATGAAAGGTGGTGCCATTTCTTCAGGTAACCAGTCAGGAAGGCAAAAGGGAGCTGTGTGTATGCCTCAGAAAAAGTGAGACAGGGATCTCAGAGAAATGTCATCGGGGAGAAGAGGAATTGAACTCACATAAAAATGCTAAGAGACTAGGGGGAAACGACAAAGCAGGAAACCAGGAGGCACGGCGATGGGCAGATCATGCTGTACAAAGCAGTGTTTGGAAAGGTAGGAGGGCGGGCGAAAGGTGCATAAGGATGAGGAGTGAAGCTGCCAGGAGCAAGGTGTTTGCCCTGCTTAGGCGCTGTCAGTTCTCCCGCGGCTGACAAAAAGCACTCCCCATCGGCTCCCAAATTGTCTAGCAGGCAAGGATGATAGAACAGGCCCAACTGCACAAATTGCATTGCCATCCCAGTGCCAGTAGAAGCTGAGTAGTTGCTTGAAAGTACTGCAGAGATCCCGGCATTGAGTCCAGAGACTAAAATTCCCCATGGAGACATGTGAAAAGTAGAGCCAGTTTACGTAGTAAGCCACATGCTCCACGATACTTTATGGTAAGATCTGCAGCACGTGTAAATCCAGCCCTTACAATAGATTTCATGTGGGTTATGGGGACACACCCAAATGAAACTCCTGGAGGCAGTCCCAGAGGAGGAAAAGATGACACAATGCAGTCCCACGGTTGTCTGACAGCTTGCTTGGCTGCAAGGGGAGAATTTGGTCTCTGGAGAGAAGACACAGCTGTAATCTCTCCATTGACACAGTGGGCAGTTTTGTGTTTTAATAGAGCTGGCATGTCACCTTCGGGAGATGGTCACTGAAGCTGGGTGTCAGAACAATAGCCATTGGGAACAACTGGTCTGATGAGCATGGTCCTGAGTGCTAGATGCCAGAACTGAGTTCATTGCCAGAACATGCAGATTCTTCTCAACATTGTAGACAAAAAGACCATTAAAGCTCTTTGAAGGTATTTATGTAAATATACTCCATATGTGTGCAGCTTAGTCTTAACTTTTTGAATGGCCAAATGGCATTTAGTTTTCTATGTGATTTATGGCAACAGGCAAAATTTCTTAATTTCTAGATATTTAAAAAATTTCTAATTATTTGTTGTTTACTTTTTTTCATTTAAACAGCTATCCTCAAACAATAACAAACATTCCTTTTAATTATTTGTAGTTAACGATTGCTGTATTCCTTTCATATTTTTAAAACTAGCACACCATCTCCTTTGACTTTTTGATATGAACAAAAGGTTTTCCATTGACATTGAATTATCTGTATTTTTTATGTATCCCCCACTTATCTCCAGGGCTCTATCTTTTTCCTTCGCATAATTCAAGTTGCTATTACTTTATTTGAGCATCACAAGGTCAGATTCCTTCATGGACCTAAGCAGCTACTGTACAAGAACAGACAGCTGTGGGCTGGGTAAGGGAAGGACCTTTGGTTCTGCGACAAGGAGGAAAAAGCAACAGGTCAGAGAGTGTACTTGGACCCGGGACTTCCTGAGCGCCATCACTTTCTCATACGCAGGTGACGTAGGGAAGATGGAGAGGTACACAAGAAAGGGCCGAACAAGCCAGCAGCAGCAGTGAGGGAGGGCTGAGACACTGAAGGATGAATCACAGGAACTGATGGAGGACCATTCTGGCCAGAGCAGCGTTACAGGTACTTGCATTTGTGACTATGCTCCAGCACCCCTGAGTCACCTGGTGCTGGTGTCTATACCAAGGTCAGGAGTGAAATTCATTGTTAAGTCATGTGTCATCCCTCCACCATCACCTTTGAGACACAGTGCCATGCAGGTAATCTAAGCTTTCCTCATATTTGCTATGTAGCCAAGGATTCTCTTAAATTCCTGTTCCTTCTACTCTCAAACTGTGCTTATAGGTATGTGCCACCAGTGGGGTCCCCTGCCTCCTCCCTCCCTCCCTTCTCCCTCTCCATTCCCTTCTTTCATTTTCTAGTACTTTGTATTGAACCCCAAGGCTTTGGTACTTGCTCTGCAAATGCTTTACCGCTAAACTAATTCCCCAACCAACGACATGCTTTCAGGGAGGGAAGCCAAGGCTTGTGTGGTTCAAGAATCACAGCAGGAGTTCACATGGTCCTCTGATGGATGGCTCAGGTCTCCCTTTCTTTCTTTCTTTTTTTTTTTTTATTAAACTAGTAACCAGTACCATTTGTATAGACTAAATGTCCTTGGGATTCTTTTGAGTGTTCTTGGAAGTGGTGCCCAGAGGGAAGAAATGGGGTATTTTTATGGTGGTGGGATGGGTACCAACATGTATTGAAATTTGAATAGTAAAGGTTCCCCATTAGCTTGTCAGGGCTGTTAGAGCAGACAGAACAGAGCCTCACAGATTGGTTGGCTGAGCAACAGAAATGCTTGTTTTTCCAGGTCTGCAGACTGGAAGTCTGAGGTCAAGGTGCTGGCTGAGTTGGTTTCTTTAGAAACCTCTCTTCTTGGCCTGGAGACAACCTCTGTCTTCTCAGGACGTCCTCACATGTCCTCTTTGCTTGTGTGAAGATTTCCACTAATTATAAAGCAAATTATTGTTGGATGGGCACTTATCCTAAGGCCTGTGCTGCAACAGAATTAACTCTTTAAAGACCCAATCTCCAAATACAGCCACATTCTGGGCCACTAGGAGTTAGGGTTTCAACATAAGAATCTGAGGATGTACAGTACAGCCCTTAACATAGACCTTATTGTTTATTATATATTTTTTAGAAAGGTGAACATGATAATTCACCCAAGTCTGCTTTCACAATGAAATCAGATCTTTTTTTTTTTCCACTTTTCATTTTTGGAGACAAATCATTTTGAGATGATTTTGTTCAGAGTCTGCTAATATCTTAAACTAGTTGCCAAACTCCTTATCTTTTTCTGTGTTCTGTAGCAGGTACTATGGGCCTACACAGCCTTTCCTGAAACCATTAAAAATAAGTGTATTTCAGAATTCAGAACCTTGAGTTGTTAGAGAAGTGGTGAGCATCCTTGCGATTGCCTATCTTGATGAGAGTGTGGGTGTCTGTGACATCAGATATAATAAGGCATATTGATATTTCACAGTAGGATGCATAAAGAGATTTAAACCAAATAAGGACCAGTTTGTGCTTAGCCATTTACATTTGAACATATTCTGCAAGGGTCTCTGGTGCAAAGAATGAGAATTGGGGCTGGAGTGATGGTCCGTGGTTGAGAGCACTTGCCTCTCCTGCAGATGACTTGGATTTAGTTCCCAGCACTCATATGGCAGCTCACACTGGTCCAAGTCCTGTCCCAAGGGATGCAACATCCTATTCAGGCATGCACATGGTATGTATGTGTACACACATGTACAGGCAAACATGCAGGGATCTGTTTGAAAAAGCATAAGGAGCACTCCTTTGGAGATTACCTGGTCTGCTTGGCTCAATCTGCACCTAAAGCATTAAGAACAAGATGACATGTGTAGTCAGATCGTGGATCAGGAAGAAGCCAGGTGTTAAACATGAAAGCAGCCAATACTGAATCTGGAGTAAAAGGAGTTTTCAACAAATTACCTTTCCTTCCTATTGTATCTACCTCTCTCTGAGGGTAACAGCTCAGGGAAAGTAGGTGTTTCCTATAGCAGTTGTCTTCTTAACTTCAATACAACCTGCCAAATGTCCCAGGCAACTAGTGCTAACCCACTGTGTATCCTGAGAGCAAGCCACAGTACAGCCCCTGGCCTCAGTTTCTCCCCCGCTATACTGAAGACATGAAGCTTTGGTCTGCCTCCTAAGATTCCATTTCATTGTGACTTTAAAGCTGGTGGACAAGCTCTGACACACACGCTTCCCTCCTCGCCTGGCTATCAGCTGCCATCTGGCAATTAGCAGCCTCTGAGGCAGCTAATCCCACTCTGAGCTGGATTAGAGCTGAAGTTTAAAACATGGAGATAGGCAGGTGATTTCTGTTTGAGTCTTTTGGTCCTGCTGTCCCTGGCAGCATGCTGAGGAAGAACAGAAAAACTGATTTCTTTCCCTTACCTGGGAGGCAGTCATCCTGAGCGGTATCACGCAGGGCGATGTGCTGGGCTGGAGGAGGCTCCAGGTGAGCCCCCGGGGAGCTTCACCCCAGAGACATGAGCAAAGTTTGCTGGACAAGAGGAGTCTAGAAGAGACTACCTTTAGTGTTATAGCACTGCCCTGGCAGGGACAATGAGAAGCCTCGGGCAGAGAGGCCTGGATTGTTTTGAACCAGGAGTTCCAGATGCCATAAAGGGACTTGGGGTGGCAGCTGACAAGCCCCTTGGCTCCTCTGGGGTGCCCTCTCATTAGGCAACACAGTCAGAAACCAAGCCCATGTGTTTGTTCATAGCCCGAGGAGATAATTAACTTATATCCACAGAGGGCCTTGATTACATTCCTAGCATGCTCCGAATGAGAAGCCTCATCTTGGAAGTGCCGGTGGGGGTGGGGGCAGGGAGGAGTTTGCAATGGTTGGCTGAGGAGTCATTTGTTCCGAAATTGGGTGAGTAATCAAACAAATGCCTCTTTTCCTAATTGTTGATAAAAGTCAGTTGCCTGGGCAGATCTGGAGACTCACTCCTGAGAGAATACATTACTTGAGGTGAGCATGCTTCCGAATATGTTAGCATGATCTAGGTACATTTCACATAGCTTGAATTTAGCAACAAATGGCGCCCATTGTGAATTTTATGTCGAGCGGGCTTAGGGGAGGGAGATTTATGCCTGCATTTTATGGATGGCTTGTTAACTGCTGCCTGGGACCACTTTTTTTTTTTTTTAACCGATGATTTTCTTAGATACCTAATTGAGCATCTACTGCATGCAGCTCAATACAAGGTGCAAATGAGACGAAAGAAAATAAGGTCCCTTCACCTTTGGAAGCCTATTAATGCCTTACAAAATATTCTTGAACCCAGAATTCATTTTGTATGTACGGGTGTTTGATCTGTGTATATGTCTGTGCACCATGTGCCTGTAGTGCTGGCAGAGGCCAGAAGAGGGCGCTGTACCCCTTGGGACAGGAATAATAGCCACTATGTCAGTGCTTGGATTCAAGTCCATACGTATACTCTGCAAATGCAACTCGTGGTCTTAACTGCTAAACCATCTCTCTAGCCCCTTAAAGAATTTGCACTTATTTTTATTATTTTAAGATTATGAATGTGTGTGCAGATTTTTGGGGGTTGTAATGTACACATGAACATAGGTGCCCAAGAAAGTGCAGGTGCCTGCAGAGACCACACATTTCCAGTCCTCATGGGGCTAAGTTTCAGATGGTTGCGAGTTGCCAAGGGGGGTTCTGGGAGTCAAACTCAAGTCCTTTCGAGGAGCCATACAGGCTTTTAACCACTGAGATGTCTCTACAGCTGTGAGGGTATTGTGAGGTAGTTTCCTGAACTGAAACATACTATCCTGGATTCATTAAGGCTCGGGATACAAACAAAATGTACAAAACTTGGCATGCAAACAACTTGCAAGTCTTGTACACGATTCACAGGACCCCTCTCCAAGGTTTAGGATCTGTAAAGGCTACTGGAGAGAGAGACTGCTCAGGTGGCTTGCGAATCATACGGGGGCTTCAGAAATGCAAGTTTTGTGAGTCATCAGCCACTACAGTCTTTTTAGCTGCTTTTGGGGTCCTCCATGTGCCTGTAAATAATCCCAATAAACTCACCAGTTTACTATGCTAGACTTGGGCGGAATGATTTCTTTATTCTGCCATTGGCACTCTCTCTGGGGTTCATATCACCCTAGGAAAAGTGCCATACCATTGGACCTGCAAGATATTCAGTTGATGATGAAACCAGAGTGGACCAGAATGAAATAGCTTACATATTTTTAAAAGCCCACGTGCCAGCAACAGCAGTAAATAAGTATTATGTTGTTGAATTCTTCTGAGGATTCTGTGAAATTGCTGTTTTTACTACTCCTGTAACCCTGAGAAAACTGTGGCACAGAGCTGTTAAGCACCTGCACTGAGACCAGTAAGAGAGGGCCTGAAGGGGCATGGAGTTGGGACTTTCTCAGTTCAAAAATGCCATGTGTCTACATCACTGCACTATACCACTGAGCTACATCTCCAGCTCTGGGGACACCTTTGGCAGTGCATTCTCCAGTAATCTGATGAGAAAGACATGTCAGTGGTTTTGTTTGCTAAATCTCATAGAGCTACACTGATGTACTTAAGGTCACATATCTTGTCTATCAGGGAGGTGAAATTTCCAGTGTCAACTACATCTGAAGACTGGCCCCTTGGGCACATTCTGTGTGATGCTCATTAATTCTGAGTCTCAAGACCACAGAGTCTCTGGCCTACCCACTTGGACTGACTTCGAGTTTCTTGTGACTTGATTTCCCCTTCCCTTCCTCAGAAAAGTCATGTCAAGAGGGACAAAATGAGATGTGCTTTGTTGATGAGACGTCAGATTTCTGTAGAGCAGACGGAGAAGGTGTGGGTAATTTTCTCAAACATGTCAATGTTTGTTCTCCATGGTTATTCCACGAAGTTTCAATTTCCCTGAAAGAATTACCTAGTAAGATAATGAGGCTAAATATGCAGCTGTAGCAAAAGAGAGAAGAAAGCAACTGAAGTATAACATGATCTAGGACCCAGATGTCCAAGACCTGCTACAGTAAACTTGACACAGTTTAGCTTGTACATTGTTTGGTCTATGTTATCAAGAAGAGAAAAACATATAAACAAACTTGGTGCTTACATAATCCCCAGTTACTTCACACAAAAGCAGAACAAGCACTTTGGAGAAAAATAGCCATTTCATGTTCTAAACCGAAGGTTAATTTCTCTTGAAAAGAAAACTCGCCAGTGTTTTCCAATTCTTCTAAGTCCAGGACCTTTTGATGGCAACAAGACCTCACCACCCACTGAAGATTACTCGTGCACAGAAAATGCATTTGTGTTCTATATACTCCTATGTTAACCAGGATAATTTCGTTGATCTTTACTTTCTATACAATGTAGTCAAAGTAAGTGCCACTTGATTGTCCAAGTACAAAATCAATCCCTCCATTCTGTAGGGATATTACTACCATTTCAAGGGAGCATAGTAGCCCTTCTTAATAAACAACCATCAAAGGAATAAAGCAATTGGCAAGAGGCATCTGCACATGTTGAAAATACTGGATGAAATTTGATGAGCATCAGGGTTTATATTATGTTAAACTGTCTCCACTTAAAATGGAAATGGTAATTTCAAGAGGTGCAATACTTGATGAAAGGGATCAAAGTTGTCACCATATATGGAGTAAGTCATTTTCAGCTGCCCAGCATGGCTTGCTGAAAAGGACATACTACCCTGTGCTCTTCTTCCTAGACTAACTGATCTGGGTATAGCTGTGAGGGGACACCAGTCTAAACCAAGCCTCATTCTGTGAAACAGTTGACTTATATTCTTCCTAAGTGTGATAGTCAAAATAAACAAACCAAAGGAATGTTCCAGATGAAAGGACAGAGACCAGGTATGATGAAGGGACCCAATGTGTGATCCTGGGCTGAATAAGAAATTTGAACCAATATATATGCTTGATATGCTCCTCTCTCTCTCTCTCTCTCTCTCTCTCTCTCTCTCTCTCTCTCTCTCTCTCTCTCTCTCTCTCCTATAAAGGAGCATATTACAACTAATGGTAACATTTGAATGAAACCTATCTATATATTAGGTAATACTAAATATTAAAATATTGTTTTCCTGGTTTTGTTAATTCCACATTGATTATGTGAGCAAGGAGCACAAACATACAGGCTGAAGTTTTCAGAGTAACTGAGGACCATAATTTGCAGCTTACTCTCAAATGGTCACAAACATGCCACACCAACCCCATGAGAAAGAGAGAACATTAATAGCTCTACAACATGTTATGTCTGTAGTTTTGACAAACTATTCAAATAGAACTTGTCACCATGACCAAGAATGAACTCTCTCTTTCTCTATTTGCAATATTTGCAAGGTCCTAGAGAGCCTGTAAACTGGGAACCAGCAACCCCACCTACAGGATGGAAGGCCATCTCTAAGTCAGTCAACTGTTAGCCAGCATCGTCTTTGACAATAAGGCCATTTCCAGGATACTTTCTTTTTAATTGACTGATTTTGTAAAGTCATTCCACCTCAGCAGAAGGGTCCTGTCTCTGAATTTTATTATTCTTTATTAACATAGAGAAGAAAATGACATCATGAGAAGGGTTTAAGTATTTCTCACCTTAAAATATCCTTATTAGTTACCAGCACTTTCTCCCGCCTCTTTATTACTGTTATTTATATCTCACTAGGAAGATTTTCACAAGCATCTTTCTGTTGCCTTTCATCACCCCCTTTTGATATATTCTCTTCGTCTGTGCTTTTTCTTCCAAGTTTTTTTTGTATTTTATTTGACACCGACAGTTTTACAAGGAATGGTTTTAATAGGTACATGCTGTAAAATGGAAATATTTTACTAGGATATTACATAAAATACACAGAAGAAACCAGGGTATAAATTATATTTTTATTGTAAGATTTTACTGCAAATAAGTTCACATATACAATCTTTTATTTATGATGAGAGCAAATTCTTTTTACTTATAGCTGCTTTTGAATGTGGTGCTTCAGTGAGGGAGCTTATGTGTAGCTACATAAAAGAAGCTTCGATTTTGATGAGAAATGAGAAAACCCTTAGTTAGGGAATGCTGTTTTTCTTGTTGACTTACAAAAGAGGGCAAAGAAAGAGTTGGCTCAGCTGGTGGTGGGGAGGTCAGAGAGACAAGGTCATTTGTTCCCTTAGACATTCAAAGATGTGTGTGGTGAGCTATGAACAGGGTACTGATGCTACATAGCCCCCACCTACCTTGGCTCTACCTCACCCAACCTACCCACTTAAACTTGAGCCTACTTAACTTTTCCCTTTACTGAGAAAAATACTGCTCACGCATGGAGACCTGTGGTAGCCCCACCGAGCAAGATCCTCTTATTCATGGCAGCAAATGAGATGGAAATGCATTCATTACCTGTTGTTTCTCATTTACAATTTTACTATTATTAGTTTTTTGGTTTGTTGTACAGGGGGTAGAATCCAGATCCTCAAGTATGCAAGGCAAGTGCTAGACCACTGAGCCACACCCCCTGACCTAAGCACTAATTCAGAGCTAAATGCTGTCTTCCAAACAAGAAGATCATAAAAGATGCTAA